TTTATGCTTGATTGATAGATTTATTTGGCTTATTTATAGATGGTCTTAACTATATCCACATTCATTCAACATGTTAAGCTTGTCTGCTCAGTTGGATTTACTTTCGCGAATAGGCAATTTAAGTCATGAGCTTTCTTGGAAATCAAACCCTTAGCTTTTAATACTGTTTTATTTATTCAGAAGCATGACTACTGGTTTTATATTCTGATTTACCTACAGATATAACCACATGCATGAACGTACTAGCCAATTATTTTATAACTATCTATTTATATTTGGGTTTTCTCAATCTCCTCTAGCTCCATAGTGTTGTATTGGCCTTGTTTTTATAAATTGTTACGGGTGAAATGAGGACCATATTGGACTTACTCGATCTTATACTCTCTGCCGTAGTAGTCTTATTAATTTCCAGCAAGGATAGCTTTTCCTACTGACGATGCCGATCTGAAATAACTTTATAGCAGGTATTTCGTTGACTAAGCATCACATTTCATTTTCTATGCTATGCTTGTTTAATGTTAAGGAACTTGCATTCGATTTTCTCAATGTGCTATTGATCCAAGTTTTACGATGTTGGAGAAATCTGATATCTACATGTTCGTTTATCTGAATCACCTTTATAGCTATTCAATAAAGTAAAGATCAAACTGTTCTGGATCACTATTCATTAACTACTTGATCTCACTTGTTCTATTTATTCCATATCCCATTACTTGTTTGCATAATTAAAAAAAGTTGTTTATACCTTCTTATGCCTTTCATTATTTATTTATAATTGTTTTTTTTCTCTCATTACAAATTTTGTAATCTTTTTTTTCAACCTATTTTCTGCTATTTGAAAACCTTTAATGAATGAATCCTCGTGTATTTTCATCCTTTCGATTTGATTGACTGATATGCGACGATTACCTATATTGGCTAGTCTAAATTCATTTATATCAGTTCTATAGATTCACAACAATGCGCCATTTATGTCCATAATTTGTATCTCGGCTGGCTTATTTTTACCTTAATTTATTTATATAATTAAGATATCCTTCAGTGCTATTCTTTCTAATTTCAACCCTCTCTCCGCTAAGGATGATGTTCGACCGATAATCTCCGAGCGCTATCGTCTCCAGGATAAGGTGGCAATGCATTTGGCGCCCCCTTCATCCCTTTCTTCGATCACCCTCTCGTTCGGCGATCAAATCCTCCACACTCTTCAGTCACCCGTCCATCAGGCCATCGAGCCTAGCTCTATTGATTCTGATATGCCTGATCCCACAGCTATTAGTCTTACACTTTCCTCAGTCATTGCAATACCCGAGGTGTTTAGTAACCAGACTGGTTGTCAAGGTGCCCATGACCTATGCCAACGCCCTGGACAGGAAGCGGGCTTCGGATCTGTTCTATCCATACCAGACGTTACCAGTCTCTACGAGCCGATTCACACCTCTGATCAGGCTTAACTGCTCATCTTTTGTCCAATTAAAAGACAAGCCAGTCTCCAAAACCTAAATAAGATAGAGGTTGTTTAATATTGTTTTCGCAACATTGAGAAACGAAAGGAGACTGTGACCACACAAAAGGCCACACCATCTTAGTCTTCATACTTTCGACTAAATAAGATAGCCTATAAAATTTGAACCTTCTGGCGCTTTAAGCTTTCTTCAGTTGGAGTTGGCCTTTCTTCTCACTGGACGGCTCCGGCTGTGGCAGCTCTTATAATTCACTCCTGGTTGCTCATTTGCTGCTCGTTCCCATGCGCATTCATCATGTCACCTAACCCAGCTGGTTGTGATGCCGTACTTGTTCGGCTCATTTATCTTTCACTTAGCTGCTGGTCTTCTTCCTCTACTCCACGGCATATCACCGGCTCTTGGATTTTTCTTAATCTTTGTGCTACTTTGTTTTGTCTTTTCTGTTTTTTATTTTAGCAAAACAACTATCTTTTTTTGACCACCTCCAGATTAGGTAATCAGTCGTCCTCTATTTGAATTCATTACCCCATGTTATAAAATATTTCTTTATTCTATTTTTTCAGTCTTTCGCATTTTATTCATCGTTTTATACGTACGTCTCTACTTCTTTTTCGTCGAATGTGTATCTATTTATCTATATACCTATCATTGTACTTATTTTAAAGCCAGCTGAAAACCTTTTTAAATTTTAATTTATTTACAAGATTTTGCTAACTTGCATTTTTTTATTACTTCGATCAAGCTGCATTTTACCCCCAGCCTCTCCCACTACGTCGCACAACTCAGTTGACAATCGTTTTTGCCGCACTTGCATACATTATACTCTTGGTTCGTATCGACAATCCCTTTGTGCGCCTCTTATCTATATTATCTTCCTGGTTTATGTATAGCTTCGTTGGGGGGGTTGTCTTTATGTAATTTGACTTGTCTATCCTAATTTACTCATATATATATATATATATATATATATATATACTTAGCTTCAGTTCCTAAGGCTAATCCTTTGTAACTTCATATTTTTTTTATTTTCATCTGTACAGATGTTGATTTAGCCATTGTACTGTATCATTCATCTGTTGCGGCCTAACGAGTCTTCGTCCAACTGAATTCTGAATTACTTAACTTTTACCCGACTTGTTCTTACAAATTATTACATTTGGTGCTCTCAAGATAGATTTATACGGTCTCTGTTTTCGCATCTGCAGAGGGCCGTATTGCTTATATTATCACGGTGTTGTTTTTATCTTTACATCTTTGCCTGGTTTACTATTGACTTACGATAGATTTACTTGAATTGTCTGCTAATAATCGTATTTCCAAATAAGAGATCATCCATTTTATTTGTATATAGACATGTCAATCTACTCTTTCATTAGTGCACGCCCATTTGTTAAAGCTTCATACTTTGCTATTCCACGTTCAAAGTCTGTGAGAATAGAATTATTTCTTTTTTTGCAGTCTTTTTCTGCTTGTTGGTTGCTTTCGTGGATCCAGCCTTTTCTGCATAGGAAGTAGCTAGTAATAAATTGATGGTTAATATTTTTCGTATGTAAGTAGAGCTTCGAGACTACCAGTAAATCAGTAATATGAGATGTATTCAGCCTATTTCGTTAAGGTGATGAAGTTCTAGTAGTAGAATTTTCCCACAATGATACGCGTGGAGCTGACGCTTCCATTCAATTTTACATAGCCTTGATTATTAAAAAGTTGTTCTCATCCATGGTGGACTGAAGCTTCGATCTAGCATATGTCTTATAAACATCCCCAGCGGGATTCGAACAGTGCAGTGTGAGCTTGACATGTTAACCACTCAACCACATTGCCACAAGTGCCCTTGGGTCACAGGGCAGGTGCCATTTTCAAGGAAGGCCAGGCCTTTTCCCATATCACATTCTTTGGTGGTAGTCTCAAAACCCTATTTACATATGTAAAATAAGTAACGTTTTCTATTGCTATAGCAAAAATACGTTTGCTTCATCGGCAAAAGGCCTGGCCTTCCTTGAAATTGACATTTGCCCTATGACCCAAGGGCACTCGTGGCAATATGACTGAGTGGTTAATATGTCAAACTCACATGCACTGTCACGGTTCGATTCCCGCTGGGGGTCGAAATGCAGTTCGCCCTGGATGAGAACAACTTTTGGGAAAGTGAGGTTATGTAAAATTGAATGGAAGAGTCAGCTCTATTCGTATGATTGTGGGAAAATTCTAGTACCAGTCCTTCATCACCTTAAATGAAATAGACTGAATACATCTCATATTAATGGTTAATAGACATTAATGATATATGCATGCATATTTATGACTAATACATTTTCTATTTGTGTATTTATCTTATTAGTATTAATTACTGGAGAGATACTTTTCGTGTGAAGGTACATGATAACAAGTTTTGTTGGTCGATCTCACCAAAAAATGACGACTCATTCTGCTTGTACAACAGCCATTGAGCTTTAGTATGACGTTCAGATTGATGCAGCCCATGGGACGGGCTGAGCTTCCGTTTTTCATATGACCTCAACCTGGTTTAGTATTAACTTGAGGCTTATGCAAGAATGGGTACCAGCCTTGAAGAACGAAAGCTCAGCTGTCTTCTCTCGAAATAATGAAAGACTGCGTCAACTGGAACGTCATATTAAAGTTAAAACGGCTGCTATACAACAGGGATCAACCGTTGTCTTATTGTGGGCTCCACCAACGATTATCTTCACAATGCGTTTAACATATGCTGAAAGTAACAGCTGATTAAGATTTAAATTGAAAATCATTTCTTAGATAATAATGAAAAAAATGTGGCTACAACATCGAGTGACAGAAATGATATTATTGTGAAATTTCGAGTATATTTTTGG